CAATAATGTTTTTCTGGCATCATGTATCTGTTGTCTGAGTTTTTGCTTCCTGTTAACCTGAGGGTCGTGATCACTTTGTGGCCACATGTATGTGGGAGAAATATTCTTACAGCTGAATTGCAAGTGGGATAAGAAACCTTTTTCCCCCCTTTATATTCTCTCTTACATGTCAACACACATGCATATGAACAGACCTTCCCCTCCCCAACCCTTTGGACTTTTTATTAGAAACTAGGCTAGTATGATGAATGTTCAGAGGATGATCAATTGCTCTTCTTCTTTCCACTAAGGCCCAAGGGAACCCTCTGCTCTCTGTCTCACACAGGTTGCGTAGCCATTTAACAGCCTCCTACACACTGAATAGTTACTGTGATGAATGATTAACATGCAGCTTTGCTAAATTATGGCCAATATATCATTAATACTGTAACTAGAGAAGACCTAACAGATACCGAGAGTGAGTAAGTGAGCCGGCTCATTCCCTGAAGTAGTTCCTTTTTGCTATCCTCCCTGTGTCCAGTGTTTTCCCAACTGCCCTGCTAATATGCCTGTTATGTTTATCCTACATGCAGGTCTATTAACCCACCTCATCCCAACGCCTTGTTAGGTCATGTGTGTTTAATTCCTTTCCTCCCTGTATTCATAACCAGAGAGGTGTATCTTCTAGCCGACTGCTCAGTAGTGTTCCAGTGTAATAATCAACCTTTGTTGCTGCTTGTGCATGATCCAAAACCTCTGTATCCCCCAATTAAGCATATCTGAGTGCTTCCTGGCATCTGTGTTACGTTGCAGCTGCGGTTGCTGAGGTAGTTCCTCGGCCTTGGCAAGACAACACACAATGCTCACCTTGAGCCAGTTCCATGGGTCATCACCAGTCTTTTCAGCAGTTCTCAGCATCCCCTTGCATTTCCTCTACTTCCACCTACTTCCTGTCTTTCTCTCACCTCTTCGCCAGTGTGGAGTGCTGTGAAGACAGCCGTGAAACACAACCTCATTTCCACAGCTATTTCCCAGGGAAACCAAAATGAAAAGATACTACCAACCTTTTCTCTCCGCTGCCACACCACTCACCGTAAATGCTGACAAGAGACTCCAGTACCATCTCTGACCTTTTACAGGGCTCTCAGAACACACTCGCACACATCATTCCTATTACTGGCAGTGCCTTTGAATCAGCACAATCTGCAGTGGTGTGGAGGAATTTAATGACATACAATGTCGCTTCGATTTTAGCGCTCCCCAGCCAGGCTGCCAGGTGCACCATTTGTCCTTTTATTCAAAGAAGAAAGGGAGGTTTGAGTGTCCCTAAACCGGTCTGACTGCGATAGGCTGAAGAAATGAAGGGCAGTGTGAGCGGCTGTGTTCCATTTCACCGATTTGAACGATTTTTAACTGTTGAATTTAACTACTAAATTCCTTAAGATTCACCATAAAGCCACTTATACTGTACCTACCATCACCTCACTGTCCCCTTATTGTCATATTTATAACATGCCTATATTTCATCAACACCAGGTTGTCCTTTATTCACATCCCATGACCCTACAGTATGTCTTTCAGGGGACTGCGATTCAGAGGCCTTAAATATCATTTATGGAAATACAGCTCAACCTCCTCTCAGGCCCTCACACAACCCCTCCTTCTGCCCCTTGTTTAGTGATCAATAAATAATGGAGCGAGGAGGTGAGAGTGTGCAGCTAACAGATTGTGAGACAGGGCAAAAAAACGCAAGGAGCAGGGGAAGGAGAGCGCTTGCTGCATTGCAAAGAGGAGCTGTGGGAGCTGTCAACAGCAGAGGAGACAGAAAGAAAGGGAGATGAGGGACTATGAAAGAGAACAACAATGGCGGAGAAATATAGTCTGAAGAGAGGGAGTGTGAAAAATGAAAGGTTTAGACAATATTTAAAAGGAAAGAACAAAACAGGACTGCATAAATAGATAATTTATGTATTTCATATATGGTGATAGGTTAAAAATGTAATAGTAGGTTAGATCTTTTGTTGTCACACAGGGAGAAAAACTGTTGATGTTTTGACCGCAAATTTCCCACATGCCTCTGCTCTCCTAAGGAACAGGACTGTTGCTGTTACTGTCAAGTATATCCTATCGACAGGTAATTACAGCCATATTAAGAGCAGTCTTAGTTGTGTGAAATAATGCTGGGAATTCTGCAGGTAATTAGCTTGAGCCACAGTCAAGTGTGTGAAGGCAGTGTGCAGACAAAGACAAGAAGTGCTTAAGCCCCCTCTGTTGCTCCCTGAAGTATTTGAAGTACAGGAGCATGTGTGCACACATGGACGCTTTCAGAGACGCATGCACAAACACACCCACCGCAATCCTCCCGTCCTCAAAGTGTTTACTTGCAGCATTATTGCAGAAGAACCAGTCTCGGTACCCAGATATGTCAGCTGCGGCTCTTCTAAACGACGCCCATCTGTTGAACCTTAATCAAAATTTCCATATTTTTCTCATGCACTGTTGTGTTTCTTCGCTTCTTTTCTCCCTTACTCCACTGTCCGCCTCCTAACTTGTTTGCAGTATTTAAATGCTAATTTGTAAAATAGAGAGTGTTCTCAGGGTGGCCGCATATGTTTTGGTAAGGTGAATTTGAAATATGATGATGATAGAAGTGGCTCGCAGCAGAAAAACCCTGCTCTCACTGCGAACAGGGTCTTGACCCACCGTGGTATGGTAATGATAGACAGAGGTGGAGTGATGTGCCTTGGTGCGTCCAGTTTCTTTTCACTTATGACTTGCAATGGCTTTGGTTCCTTAGGGGATTCAATATAGATTTTCTTTTCTCTTAAAGCAGATCTAATCTGAAGTAAGTGGCCGGTCTGTCTCATCAGTTGACATCTAGTCACACCCATTGGTGCCTGACAGGACAGGCAATTTATGTATTGTTTTAGCCGAATTAGTCTGCCCCTTTTATTTGGTCACAGCCTCCTGGACGATCAATAAGATCCCTGTTTTTGTGAACACCGCTTCTTTACCTCAATTAATAGCCAGTGCAGTCGAGCAAAACTGAATGGCTCATGGCTGGTTAATGGATATTGTTTCTAGCTTTTCGATGTTTTAGAGAAATGTGAGTTTGCATTTCGATTATTGGGTTAATCTGTTATTATCACACAAAAAAATTAATTTCAGAGTATAGTATTAGCAACACTGGTATTAGGTGGCATACTCGTCTAAGCAGTGAAGCTGTAGAATCTAAAAGACAAGACAGTTTTCTTAAGCCTAGTAGGATCTAAATGTAAGGCAGCAGCCCCACAAATTGCATTCAGCACACAAACTGAGCTATAAACATGGAAAAGGTACTGCTTCTTGTCAGCCAGAGACAAAGGCTGTTTGGACAGGGGTGACCGTTATTTACATTGCACCTCTGTTCAGCTTTCCTATTCTTTAAATGCCATGCCAAAGGCACTTGGAGTTGCAGCTGCTGTGTGCAGATGACAGTCTTCCAGCTCTTTCAGAAGCTGTACGTGAACGCTGTCAGTGAGTCGCTCTTATGTTCTGTTTTTCCATCTCAATATCTAAAACTCTCAGAAGTTGTTTCCCCAGTGACTCATTTTTTTTAACCTGCAGAGGAAACTATTGCCATTTTTCAGCTCTATTCCATGCTAAAGCTTATCCATTAAGACTGTTTACTGTAGGTCGATGTGAGAAACATACTGCATCACACTGTGTTTAGGCTGCACAGTTATGGCTTTTTATCTCTAATCCCAGCCATGCTGTCTTCTTAAAATGTCTATCTGAGGGCTCCATGGGGCAGACTGCACGGTGGCTCCTGATGCTAAACCGGCACTTAACAAGAGGCTGGGAACCTCGGGGCATTTAATGGCATGCGAGTTTTTAGAGCTACACTCATCCTCTGTGTATTGATAGGAAACACAGCATCAACAGAGTGGTTTAGCTAACATGGCACTTAAATTAGTTTTCTCAAAGGCTCCAAAGTGAGGTGAACAGGAAGAAATTGTTTTCATTTATCACTATCTAAAAGAGGGTTTGAGTTAAAGTCCTCAAGTCTTATCATAGGCAAAAATATACATCCCCTTAAGGTCCTCTTACCTTTACAGAACAAAACGGGGTGCCTCTATAATGTTCAGCATAATGCCACATCCACCAATTACTTACTGCTTCAGGCCCTATTATGGTTGACAGTGATTAATAAAACTACTGTGGCTACATAAATGAAAATGAGAGGTGAATGTAAAGGGGTGACCAAAGAGACCAACACAGTGAAGAAAATCTGGAGCTTTTAGATAAAAATTCCCACTCTGCCTTCAACTAATTATCCTCCTAGTCTTGTCACTCCCCAAACCAAGCCATTCTACCAGAGATAAGCCTCAGGAGACAAAGCTCCTGCAAAACAAGTATGAATATTTATATTGGTGTGTGTGTGTGTGTGTGTGTAGGTGGCTTAATTACGAGTGAGATGCACACCGGTGTGCCTGTACATACGGTGTATGTGTACAACATACTATTGTGTTGTTTGTCCAGTGGCTAGTCAGGAGGGAGTGAAGGAGAATGGAAAGAAAGGCTTCGCCAGCAGGCAGCGTTATTCCCTGCGGGGAGTGTTGATTAATGAATCACATCTTTCTAACCTAAGGCTGCTACTGTGCTGCTGCATTTTCACAGCACCGCAGAGCGCCAGTCAGCCTTGTGCCAGCCCGCTTCACTGGCACAACATGGGCACAGGATGTGGGTGCTGTCACCGCTAACAGGGATTGAGAGTTAACACAAAGAGAAGAAAATTAGATTCCGGGTATATTTCATTTCATACAGACAACCCCCCGTGGCATGTTGTTGAATTAGTTTGACATGTATGGTTATTATGTTGTGTAAATTGAGCATTTCATTCTCTGAGTTCTTATTTTATCCCAGCCTTAAAAATACGCTTATATTAACACATTTTTCCCCCCACTTTTCTCTCTTTCTTTTATATTTCCCTGATGCCTCGACCTCGTTCGCCTTTTGAAATGGCCCTCTACCAATTTCAGGTATGTAAACGCATTGAAGACACGCATTGTATAGACAGTCATTTATACAGTGGTGTAATTTCTGAGCAGTTACCATGTTTTATGCAAGGCAAATGTGTCAGACCTGTCTTGAAGAGTTAAGTCATTAATTTATGAATAATTAATGAAAGGATGTGAGTCCACTAGTAAATGGTCACTTTTAAACAAATACCCTTATAAAAATCAGATTTATAGCTTTATCCTTATCGTGTTCATGTGGAAATTATTTAATTTAGTAACTGATTTTTTAGCCTTAGTTTTTTTTACTTGTATTGTACACTCTTGCAGTTATATGGACTCAAACTGTCATACACATCCTGTCTATATCCAGACAGTTTCCAGTCCCAATGTAGGGATTAATTGACAATGTTCTTGTTGCATCAGCATTACCTTTTGCCTCTTACTACTGAATAAGCACTGAAGAAAAAATAAAAACGTAGCCATGTGATTTTCCAAGGGTTTTGTGGGGGTTTTGTCTGTGACCTGCGTGGCCATCCTGTTTGAGCCATTGCCCTTTGGCCAGAGGCTCTCTTAATCAATTTGCAGCTGGCACAGCAGACACCATGCCGCTAGTTTAGCATCTGGTGTGTGTTAGGAGCTTCTGTCCTCCCTCTGATATGTTTATGTTTTTCTTGTCTCTCCCTTCTTCTGTTTTTCAGAAAGTTCTGCTCTTTGACAATTACTTTGTTTTTATTAACCCAGTAAAAGCTGTGTGTACTCACAGACCTGGACATAGGTGAATGTTGCTAAATCATCAGTAAAAACCTGTGTGTTTGGTCAGCGGTGATGCTAGTATTGATCCTTTGGGACTTGTCTTCAATGATGGCACTCTGTCATCCCGTGTTTCCCTTATCCACACACACATACAGAGACCTTGATAATAATATGACTGGAGGCAGATATTGCACTGCACTGTCAGCGGTGTTTACAGTACAGCCACACATTAGGTCCACAGAGGATGCTATAATGACTGTAGAGCTTTGAGTGGTAGCAGCACTGTGCATTTGTGTGTGCATGTGCACATGGAACTGTTTAATCTTTTATGTTTAGAGAGACGTTGCTTTCATAAAATCTACATGCGTAGCTTGTTTGGTTGTGTCAGACACCAGATTACTGGCTGTGTGTTGGTGTAAGTTTGTCAGTGTTTGCTTGGACAGAATGGTATATACTGCTTCAAGAGCTGTGAAGAGAACAAAACATCCATGCACATCAGTGCTAAACTCCACCTCCTTCTATTATCTCATACTCACATGTGTGCTGTCTAAAGCTGTCCAGTGAAATTACAAAATCTACTACTTGTCAGTCTCATAGCCTTTCTCATAATGAGAAACTCCACTTTTTAGCGCTAATGTTTGTTTTGTTACTTCTCCAACACATTTGTTGGCTTTTGGTGATTCTTCCCAGATGGTGACCAAATAATGTGTCAAATAATGATGAAGTGTGCTCCATCTAAACAACAAGCAAACACATAAAATACAGAAACGTAGCACTTGTATGTCCAAGATGGATGAAATATGCACAAACAGTCGTGAGATTCTTTCATTAATACGACAATATTGATCACCCTTACTTCCTGCCCCACAATAGATGTTGCCAATGGTAACCCATCTTTACAGTGGGAATGATTAATAGCCTTTCCCACTATTTGTTCACATCTCCTGTTTTTGTCTTCATTTCTCCTGCTTCCCAAATCTGCCAAGTTTCACAGCGGGGAGCATGTCTGTGTCAGTGAAACCTTCATGTGACTTGCGAAATAATCTAAACTTCTCTAAACTTGTCCATCTGTTTAAACAACTTTCTCCCGGAGATGTTTGTATTTGGCAGCATTCGTTCATTTTACAAAAGTCTAGCTGGATGTTTTTATTTCTCTTCTTTCAAAAGATTTCTTCTGTGGAGCCAGAGGTCATTCACAAAGTAAAGCAACCAGACATAGTTGTACATCCATCAGTTCTTTCCCCACCATTCTTTTAAAACTCAGGTCGGTTGCTGAAGCCACAGAGTACAGGAACGTTCACTACAGACACACATCCCTTACATTTTTCTGATATTATCCGTAGCACTTTCTGACGAAGTACAGCCTTTCATCCTTCGTCTTGCTAACACCAGGCAGAAATCTCTTCTTTCTCTTGTCCAAGGTCATTGTGTGATTCTCAATAATAACTTTTCTCCTGTTTCATTAGCCATACATCTGATTTTAAAATGATATTTTTTATTATTAATGATTACAGTCTGCTTAACGTACAACTGCAATGTACTTGCTTAACAAAAATTTCTAAGACATATTCCCTAAATTCCTAAACATTTCCTAAATTGCTAAAATCCTTTTAGAAATTGAATAGATTAATCTCTTTTCACATATGGCCCCATTTTTTTCTTTTTTAAAGACTGAATTATTGCAATTATTATACTAGCTTTGTTTTGTTTCAATTTTTCCCAGACTTTGCTTTGATATTTAGTTGACCTCAAGCAGACTGGTCCAGTTGAATATTCTTTGTTCAATTCAAATATCTTGTCCTGAAGAGAATTCAAAGATCCAAAGATTCAACACATGATACACAATAAAAACAAATCTACACAATAAGGAAATATCAGGAGGTTGCATTGTCTCAATTTTTTAAGGCATAGTGTGTGTATCACCAATATTATTCCACACAATGTTGGACATAGTGCAAAAGGTAATTCTTCAGTCTGTCATTCTGGTGTGATTTTAACTTCGGCAGCACAGCTTTTGAGGATGCTTCCAAGCCAAAATGCATCGCCACAGCAATTATTATGCCAGCGTATGCTGTCATTGCTGTTATCATAAAGACTTTAAGTGGAAGCCCATTGACCTTTTAACCAGAGCTTTTCCTTCCTCGTCACAAAGGAAGCTGTTAAGCTCTTAACAGGACTTCTTACCTAGATTTTCAATTGCTGTCTCTGGATGGAAAACCCTGCCACAAGATGAAAAGCACTTAATCCATCAGGTGATGTCAGAGGGCTGAGATGGTGTCAAGAGAGAGAAAGTGTGTAAGCAGGACAACCTGTGATTTAATTTTTTTTTTTTTTTTGGTTGTAGTTCCTTTCACACAGTTTACAGAGGTGTTTGTTTTTTTTTAATCCACCATCCTTACAATTTGACTTCCCTTTAAGTCTGACTAACACTCTCAACTCTGCACGCCCCTCCCTAAAAAGCTATCCGAGACCCACCTGGCTGCACCTGCCTCCACCCGCTCCACCTGAACGCCCTGTCATCCTCCCATGCAATTTAATTGCTCATGTGATAGTGTAATCCATGCTAATTTAGGCAGATGAGATGTGTAGCAGTGGAAATGCCACATGTCTCAGCATGGTGTCATGGGCTGGTGTGATCACTCCTTGCTTGGAGGAGATTCAGTGGAACAGCAGTCTGGACAGCTGCAGGAGTAGAGTGAAAAGGAAGACGGGTGATTAGAGGTAGAGATGAAAATGGGAACAGAAACATCTGTGAAATTTGGAGTTATAATTGTTGCTCTAAGTTATTCTCAAGCAAACTGGATACAAGTAGCTACAGCTGTGCCAGTTTTTCTCTCTTAAACTTAATTTAAATCTAAGCAAATGTAAATGTACATAAATTTAAAAATATTTACTATGTTGTAAGATAACAATAATTTCAATTAATGCAGATGTAGTGCAATATATAGTCACACTGTGCTGCGTGTATTGCACAGTACACAGCTTTTCCATGTTGTCTGTACTTGCTGGATATTTCTCATGACACAGCAGCAGCCCATCTGGACTGATTGTAATTCATTGAGGGTGTTTGCTGACTCACTGTTTGTCTCTCCGCCTTCTGTCATATTATCCTGAGTGACAACATTTGACGTGGCAAGGTCGTCCGCTTAGATGCACACACTCACTTCTTGAGGTAACTTTGTCTGCAAGTCAGAAGTCCTGATTTTAATTCTGATTGATTAACGGCAACTATAACATCAGTCACTTCTCAGTGCAAATAATAAATCAAGTTATTCGATTACTGATCACCTATGGCAACCGTGGTGACCTTTTTATCTGAAGAGAATGTACTGAAGTGAAGACAAATAAGTGACAGATAGCACTAGAGTGCTTTCCCTCCGTCATGCATGTAGTAGTCTTAAATACAAAGCCATTATTATTAGTGTTATCATTCTCAGTGGAATCATAGTGAGCTGCTGGTCTCACAGCTACGTCTGGAACACATTAAAATGCTAATCATATCATGCACTCAGCAGTCACTTTTCTTCTCATTTTTCATATTTTCTCTCAGTCTCTATACTCCTGTGTCAGACGTTCTATCCCTCTTCTCACATTCTCCCCACTCACTGGTATAAGTGTACAATCCTAGCTGATTGTAGGGGAAACAGAGGAGTACATAAATAATGTATCATTTTCTCTCTGCAGATGAAACAGTGATTTTGTTTTCTCAGTTTCTGCTTCAGTTCAGATTTTCTCTTCACCTCCCTTTGTATTGGATACTCATATTCTCCACCGCTCCCTTTCCCTTCCTCAAGACTTCTTTTTGCTTATTATCAGCAGTCATCTTCACCTCTTCAAGCCTCTCAGCACAGATTTGGACCCCTTTCAGTACTCCCCCAATTTACTTATCCACCATAAATTTTGGACATCATATATAAAGGCGCTTCTCTGTCCATTTCCCCCCTCCTGCTTTTAAAATAGGTATTGCTGCCATTGCTCCCACTAGATCACTGACTGGACAGAGCACATCTAAATGGGGCTTAAATTATGTAGGGTGAATACCAGCGTACCTCTAGCATGCAAACCAGCTGTTAAACCGTGTTCCCATGGTAATGTGCTACAATCTGAGAAGTGCTACCCAACTTTTTACTTTGGTTTGATAGCATTTTAGCGTGATAGACTGCATGTCTGCATTTATGTGCGCAAGTGTGTATGTGTGTTCACCCTTTGGCAATGTGTCCATAACATTTTCAGGGACCGTGTTTTGATAAAGCACCTTCTTCAGGAGAAGACTTTGAAGATTTGTGTGTATGTGCATGGCCGTGCGTGTGAGTGTGAGAGAGACTATTTCCAGCTGTGTGTGCTATATATGAGAAATGTGGACGTTACCCTTGCCCGATTCTCCCTAATAATTTTTAACTCACATGCTCGTTTTTTTTTTTTCAAATTATCTAAAACTGTTCTACAGGAACCACTCAGAGCTTTGTTTGCACGTTAAAGTTATTTAATGTCTTTTTTAGCCCACTAAACTTTTCCACCCTGATTAAAGTTTGACGATCAAAATGCGCAGCAGCTGCCAGAGACACCTCTTTTAAAGACTCCGCTTCAAAGCACTCAGCTATATAATCCAAAACTGAACATGTTGCACAGTATTGTTCCAAAATAAAACTTAACCGAACAGGAATTAGTGGGACGATACCCTCCCTCCTGTTCCTTGTTATTTGAATTGCTCTGAGTCACTCGACCTCTCATGAATATTCAGAGCTGCAGTTGGTCTGCTTTTGTTTTCACCCTCCGTCTTTATTTAGTTGTCCCTCTCTGAGAAATGGCCAGTTTTCCACCTACACAAAGGCATAGAGAAGCAATCTCGCTGCCCCCCTACCATCACAACACACACACATACACAAAAGCACTGTCTCACTCAATCACACTGTAGTAGTTGGAACGACAACCTGATACTCACTCCATTCATGAATATTCATCCACACCTGGTTCCGGCAGAAAGTTTTAAGCAGTTTTGTTTTTTTTGTTCTTTTCACAGCCAAGACAGAAGTTGGAACCTGGGCTTTAGTCATTTGTGTGTGTGTGTGTTCTGTGCTTAACACTCGCCTGTGTATAATAGGCTTTATCTTTATTTCAGTATTCTTTCTTCTATATACTAGTCTACCTGTGCACTAAAGCTATAGCTTTTGCGACATAAAAATGTATTAAGTATAATTGGTTGATATTCTGACCTTGTGGTAAAATTATGCTTTTATTCTCCTGGTGGGAGCTCGCATATCATATTTCTTTTGCCTGTGAAATAGTAAAGGTTACCAAATGGTGACAGGCTGATTTGCTTTACCTCCTAACAGCACAGCCATTATGCAAATCAGCCATTTCTTGCTACCTTTTTGGGGGCTTTAAGGAGCTTTAGTGGTATATGTGATGTCTGGTATACAATGCTCACTGATCTATACCTCAAGGAAAGTCTGTGATGTCATCCAACAGACCAAAGCAGTGATGCAACATCGGGGGAGGGTTTGGCAATCTGGGGATTATAGTTTGGTGAGAAGGGTTTCGCAGATTGACATCGTTGCCCCGGGCTGTTAGAGGATGTGTGCATGCATGCTACCATTTATGCTAAAGTGCGTGTCTGATATTGTTGTGCCAGACTCTTCACAGCTTTAGTTTACAGCTTGTTTGAACTTGTTTGGGTGCCTGTCTGTCTTCTGTCCTTTTTCCTTTGCTTTTCTAGTTTGAATTTTAACCTTCTCTTATTTCATTGCTTTCAACCCTGACTTATCCTACCATGTTGTCTCTCCACCCCTCAAAAAACTATCCCCGTTTGAGGGCTGTGGTAAGAGAATCGAGAAAGCAAGGGAACATGACTCATCAGAAACAAGCTACTGGCCCGGTCTAGTCACACAACAACAGTATCTCTATCTTTACTTCCTGTTTCTAATGCTTCCACATAAACACGCTTAATGCACACACACGTGCACACACAATTCCTTACCCTTCAAGCTGCCAGTGTTTGAGAGGGTGCGTTTAGGGAATGAGCAGAGGAGGGGAACACGACATGCTCATTAAAGAGAGAAGTTACTGGCTTCGTCCAAACACAGAGAAAATGGTGAGAACAACTTCTCTGTGCTGAGTGTCAGAACTGCCGGGAAAAGTGGAGACAAAATAGGAGGGAACAAGTGAGCAAGCAGTGATAGAGGTGCATCACAGGGAGAACATTAGAGATAGTAGTTTATCTTGTTTGGCTCTTTGGATGACAGTAGTGTGGTCTTTCTCTTCGTTCTCTTTTTGTGTTTGTGTGTGTGTGGATAGGTGTGTGTAGTGTGTGTCCATCAAACCAGTTTCAGGATGGAAAGATAAAAACACAATGGAGCCTTTGATGTCATTTTCAAAGACTATATCAGTTAAACACCAAACCAAATAGCACTTTTTAACTAATGCTATTCACACATCAGAGCAGCATAATATCCCCGCACTGACTTCAAACATGACTGCCCACTTGAACAAGTACATGATTGAATAGCCTTAGTAATTTATTTGGAAATGAAGAGTTGTTTTACAAAACTGCATCAAATGCTATATATATAAAAAGTGGATGATTTAACTTTTTGTTTTGATGACATATATTGACATTCATTTTACACCAATGAACAATCATTTTCCTCTTTTTATTTGATATAGACTTTCTGATCTCTTTCTTCTTACGGGGCCTATTTGACATGCGCAGTAGTGTTTCTCTTGTTCTGCACTGTTAACTTACATGAGGCTAAAGTCACTTTAAATGGGTGAAACACTTGATTACACTCCACTGTCAGCACTGAAACATGTCTCTTTGTTCTCAAGCCAAGATTGATCTAAGGCAGTAATGTAGTAAAAAGATAAATTTGTTGTTTTTATGGAAATATGACAGTCCCTTGAGGATTGGTGCTGCACCAATGTGCAGTCAATCTTAAATCACTGAAATCAGTATGACCTCATTTTGACTTGGTGGCGGTGATCTCATCGTGAAGCACACGTTTACTGTCAAGTTGAGACGGAGCTATAGCTACATCACTGGACGCTTTTCGAATATTGATTAAATGTTACTCACCTGTTTATTCAGTACACAATGATTAGCCAACATTTGTGTTCTCTCACCAGTACCCATTTAAAATATAATTAAATATACATATATCTGTATAATATACGCTCCCCAGACACCAGACAGACATTTGCTTTCAGACCTGCCTTAATTTGGCTATAGCCAAACGGCTTTAAATTTCAATGTGTTTTGCATTCAAAGGTACTCTTCTGTATACTTACTGATACGACTGGTTACCGTTACCTTCCTTTTAGCTTGATGCAGTCTGGCCATTTTCTTCTGACCTCTGGCATCAGCAAGGCTTTCAGCCCGAGACTGCTACTCAGTAGATATTTTCTCTATTTGGACCATTCTCTGTAAACCTGCGCGATGGTTTTGTGGGGATATCCCAGTATATTAGCAGCTTCTGAAATACTCGGACCAGCCCAACAACCATGCCACATTCAAAGTCACTTAAATTGCCTTTCTTTCCCATTTTGATGTTCAGTTTTGAACTTCAGCATATCATACCATATGGTCTAAATGCATTGAATTGCTGCTGTGGGATTGGCTGATTACATATTTGTATCAACGAGCTTTTGAACAGCTGTGTGTAAGAATATAGCAGGTGAGTGTACTTTTACTGTAGTTTTTATTGTCATTGTACAAAGCCTTTGTTACTGAGTGTTTCTATCTTCCTCTGCGCTTCCTTTATCCCTCGTTCTGTTTCATTGTCTCTAACCCTTCACCTTTCACTTTGATTGCTGCTGTTGGGATGCAGTCCGCACAAGTCCTTAGATATTTCCACTTTTCTCATGCTCTCATTCTCGCAAAGCAAACCAACATGGCGGCCAATTACATCGCCAGACAATGCTCGCCATAAATCATCCATTGCACTGTCAGACACATTGGGACTCAACACTAGAATTTTCCTTCGACTTGCTCGCTCCTTGCTTTGTTCCTTCCTTTTTTCTATTTATGAACTGGTTCAGAGAATCATAGATGCATTGCAGTCATGCTTAGCCACATTCAATCTGCATATCTACCCCAGTTTCTCTTTTGTTCACTTTTTTTCCCGCTTATATGCGGATGCCTATGTTCTGCCTTCACTTTAATTACATTTCTTTTCTTACCTTTGGAGCTTACTTCAACTTTTCATCAAGGTTGTCACTTGTTTTGATCTTTCTCATTGCCTGCTTCTCTCCCCTAATCGGACTCTTCGTGCTTTAGTTGCATGCCCGTAAATGTTTTTGACAAGGCTTTCCAGAAGGCTAATTATTTGGTTCATTAGTGTTAAGTACAGTATTTTTTTGTAAGTAAATTGTATAATTCATTGTCCTCAACCCTTCTCTTTGTCCTGTTTTTTCCCTCCATTATTCTGACATTTTTCATGACGGAGCACACTACTGTATTGTTTTTAATTTTTTTCATGCTTTCTTTCTGTCTTTATGTTCTGCTGCTGTTGGTTTTCTCGCCCAATGCCGGGGAACACAAGCGTGTGACCATGAGGGCAAAGAGCTTTTGATGGAGAATAAGTAGAAAGGCACCACCGGTTCAGATGCATACTTTAAAGGGAGATGAGGAGGGATTCAGTTCTGTAAAGCATCACTTTTAATGCTATTGATCTATATCTCTACAGATGTTTGCATTCTGCATAGTGTCTCTAGTTCGCTGCACTGCATGCCTTTGTGTGTGAAGCCTATATATTACATTGGCAACTGATAATTATTTGTTTCAGTGTCATCAGATGAGTATTAAGACTACAAAAAAGGGGTTGTTGAACTCTATTAATTGAACTCTATTAACTCTATTAATAATATCTGCTCTTATTTGAATTTTTGGGATTGGGCATTACTGAAGATATACTTTATAGTGTTTTTACTCTATCACAAGGTGAAGATTCATTGGATCATGCTGAAATGAATATGATCTTTGTCTGTCACTGTAAAACTATATAAAAATGCATTTAAAAACTTTTTTAAGTGTATATTAACAGGTCCTGTCTCCTTTACTGTCACAGCGGGGTGCATCGGTGTATTAGTTAGAGCACGACCCAAGAGCAGGCACAGGCGAGGAGACGTGATGTGACTTTAACAAAAAGCGAGCCTTTATTATGGCCGATAACAGAAGGCAAAACAAAAGCTAAGACGAGTGCAGGCAAGACAACTAAACTGGAAAACGGACTATGAAAAACCTATGATACAGACCTCTATACGAGACTATGAAACCGTGATAAGCTATGACACCTTGAAGACTAATTCTATGACTGTGACTATGAGAACTGTGACAACTATGACGAGACATAACAGGGAAGGTTACACAGACAACACGACCCAGACTGAATGAAACACAGAGACTAAATACACACAGGGATGATTAGGGGAAGTGGAAACACATGAGGACACAACTGACTAAAGTCAGCACAGGGGAGAGTAAAACTAAATACAACGAACAAAGAACACCAGACTCTTTCAAAATAAAACAGGAAACAAAGAGACATAGACATGACACGAACTTGACAAGAGCCACACAGACATGAAACATAACAGGTCGACGCACGGACCAGGGAGAGATGACAAAAGGGACTAAGAAACTAGGACTAAACTTTAACCTAGAAATTAACTAGATGAGCTAAACTAGAACACAAATGACTACAAAAGATACATAAAAATTCAAACACTAGGTCACACGACCCGGTACCCGACATTTACCTTACACAGTACGTTCAAGAACATGTATCACTTGTCAGTGAGAACCCATTTTCACATACACACGGCGAGCTACTTCATTATAATCAAGCAGGAATCTTACAGTTACACATGTTACAAACTCTACAACCATATATGCAGTTGTGTACGCACTTCATATTGTAGCTTTCTGTTTGTGTCAAAATAGCAAATTGACTTTGACAAAGCGTTAAAGGTTTTTAAACGTATCCTTGCCACGTTGACAGGATTACACGCTGACTTTCTCTCTTCATAAACTATGTATTCGTGTTGAACTTGTTTTTACAAATTCTCTCATCAGCTTGCTCCATGTGAAGCGCGAGAGAGGCTGAATTTTTCCTTCACTTTGATTTATTGCCGGTGCCTGTCAGTATTAACAATAAATAGTACGGGCCTGAAGCAGCAATGTAGGGACATTGATAGAGAGTTTGTGCATTGCAGTTGTATCAGTGAAGCCTCCCTCTGGCTGTGTGTTAATTAAAGTAGCAAATAGCAACCTTGCGAGAGGCCCGATAACACTTACCAGTGCTGTGTTTACGACTTTTGTAAGCCTCTGAAACACGCATGGCAGTGGGCTCACATGCATATTAATCTACAAATAAACACTTGACAGACATGCAAAACCCACGTGTTGTATCAACTCAGCACATCATAATTAGTCTTTCCTGTTTGTTTTACTTCCGCTGCTTTATTTTCATGCACTAATGGATTCTGTTAATGAATGGGTCTTGCATCATATCACCCCTCCATCCTTCCACCGTTGCCTCCATCCTTCCATCCCAGCTTACTTTATTATGTTTACAAAAAGGCAACAGCAGTCATAAAAAGCTTCTCCAGCGCATCTATTCCAATTAGCTGGCTAATTATTTCATTTTCTTATGTGTGTAACTCAACACTGAAAGAGACTGCCAGAATCTAAGTGGTTTTAAATGTTATTTTTTTTCTTGTGCAGACTTGATATGTTTGTGTTTCCGTATCTTCCCCTACTGTGTTTACCGTTTTTCCTTGAAACTTAAACTGCGGTGATGATTTTTTTTTTTTTTCAAAAGGTCTTTTTGGGTATAAAAGAAGACTGTAGTGAAAGCTAATTGAAGGTAAATGCTGTCACTGATTAAGTTGACAATCCACAGCTACTGTAATTAATGCTAAGCAATTATGAACCCTGTTGAATTCAGTGTCAGAGTTTTAAAATAGAGGCTGTTTAAATTTTGCGAGAGAGTGATGGGGTGAGGAGAGACAGTTTTTGATTAGAGACACTCTGAATTATACACTGCATGGAGGCTAAAGGATGAAAATAATTTCATATTTAATGTAAAGATGGTGGGAAAGGGTGTTAAAGTGGTTCACAACCAGCATAGAAGTGAGTTGTAACACATCAACTTGCTCTGTATTGCAACAGGGCAGAAAAACTATTACAACTTTCTATTACTAGTGGAGACTTGCAGACTGGTCCACAATAAATAGGTTTACCCACAGCCCTAAGTGCAAGTCTCACACTGAGTAGTTCTTTTTCTAAATGTTTATCATCTTAACCATGTTTATACAAGACATGTTGGTCAGGGTGTATACAAGCTGTGACAGCAAAGTTTTTCATTGGCTTTAGGTAATCAGGTTCAAGCTTTTGTGCAACTTTTCTTTAAAAAAGAAGTAGATTCTGTATCAATCCCTCTTAAGCTTCTGTCCCCACATTCATGACCATAAATATTGTCCTGCCCAGACAGCTACCTCCAGTCTACCTATCATGCATATGTGCCAGCCACAGCCAGGAGCCACAATGTCAAACATAAACTAAGTTTTAATTATGCTAACTAATCTTTTACAGCCTTCAATAAAATGTGATATATTACAATTCATAATGTGCTTTTTCTTGTAATTGTCACCAGCCAAAAGATATACAATGTCTTTGGCTCACTTTGGGGAAATGGATGACAGCGCTGGTGTTACCACCATGTTATATGACAGTTTAATTGTATCAAATTGGCAAATGCTACTGCAGACAGGGTGTGTGATAATGGCAAGGTGTCTAGTGACTCATTTTCCATATGTGCGCTATGCTGGTTGCCCAGCTCTGGATGTACTGGGCTAAAATCCTGTGATTGATGGCAGATTTTTATTAAACATGGTATCAGACAGTCAACATGACTTTAAAGCCATAGGGATAAAGAGGCAAGATATGTTGTAGGGCAGGATATAAATGTGTGACCTTCAGTAAGATCCATCCCAATGCAATAACACACTCGTGTATTGCCTTTGTCAAAAACAGGATGCTCGTAATTGGGTTATGTTGTCTTTCAAAGGGAATGTGAGCCGCAGTAATGATGGGATAAGCAGGCTGCCTGTGTTATGTGTCAAGACGTGATCCAGTTGTGTGCCGGTGCAAAACCGGAATCTGATTACATCTGGTTTCTGTGTGATTTCCTCTTGTTATCCAATACCTTAAATATGAACCAGAATCAGCTAGTGAGATCACACAGCTCACAATCATTTGGTAGCGCAAATAGCGAAGATGAATGCGGTGGGACCCATCTGAGTGATGTGTCTTTCTCTCTATCTGTGTCCATGCGTGTAGGTGTGACTGCGCATGGATGTTTCATCTATATATTCCTGATATCATCTATACACTCTGACAGCCAATATAAATCCTTTTATGAAGATGTTTATCTGTCTGATGGGAGGCTTGGCACAGTGGCCCTGCTCAGGTCAGATTGTTACATCAGTCCGACAGCTCTGCCTTTAGTTGTGACTCCTACAGTCAAAGATATAGAGTGTGTTACTCTACACTGCATCTAAAGCCTCATAAGCATCATATAGTATCATAACAGTGTGGTAGAAAGTATAATAATAATAATATGTTTGGTTATGAAAAGATTAAAAATATGTTAATAAATCTCTATAGTACAGCTAAGAATTGAAAGAACACCTTTTTCCTATGATCCAATCAATTATCTATGCAGCTGAATCTAAATAACACATTCTCGCGAGACCTTTTGTTGCAATGTTCAAGAAAACGATCTGCCCACTTCCCACTATGATGGTAGACATCCAGCTAATTTTACTCACACCTGCAGTCAATCCTTAACATTCAAGGGACACACCATTAGTTTACAGTGCAGCCAAGTCCACATGCACATCTTATGAACATCTGAAGATATAATTAAAGTCCTTAGAGGGAATAAACTGAGACACGGGAGGTCCAGCAATCACATTCTCTGACATGATGTGACAGTTGCCTATGCGTAAAGAGAAATCTGCTATAATCTCTATTTATGACTCATATGACCCTGTAAATAGAATGAAGCATAATTAGTTCTTTCTTCTATGTGCAGCAAAGTGCAGATGCATCAGACAGTAACGGCTCCTCATTCCCTAAGAATAACCAGGAGTGACATTTTTATAATTACAATTCTCCTTCACCCAAACCACTGTCATTGCTAATTTATTTCCGAGGGTGAAGTAGAAAAGGAGGAAAGAAAGGATGCTTAACAGAATAGGAGAGAAGGGGACGAAAGAGGAAGAGATGGTTGGAGGCGCAGAGCGAGAGAGTTGAGAAAAGCGGGATAGAGCAGAGGAGAACGGCGATAAAGGGACAGGAAAGAGGAGTCGTGCTGTAGGACAAATATTTGTGTGAGAACGTAAGTTGGGGATGAACTCTTGTCTCTTCTTCTCCTCCCCTCTTCGATTCCCTCTGAGTTCCTGCTGCAGGTTTTGGATTGCAGGTAGACTCTTCCCTTCCTGCTATTCCTCGCTTTTTCTCCCTCCATAGTCCTCACCATGTCGCACAAGTCCTTGTTGCCATGGTAACACAGGGCGAGTCGAGCAATGCAACAAAGGGATGCAGTAAGAGAGGGAGAGAGAGAGAGAAGGAGGAGAGAGACAGGTCCAGAGGGATCCACGCTTCCATTTCTGCAATCTACAGGGAAGAGGGTGCTCCCACTTAGGTCCATATATAACCATATATAACAATATACATGTTTTGGTTTTTTTTTTCTTTTAATTCACATGTTCTCACACTTTCATCTATCGGTATGGTTTGGTTTGTTGTCTTTTTGTCGCTGCATTTGATCCCAAGAGTTTTTTGAAGCTTCGCACTTTAGTTTGGCGTGCATATATCAAAAGAATTACGACTGTGAGTGTGAGAGAAAATGCACCTTTTAACTGTTTCAAGATCAGAAATGTTGCTGCCATTGCCTGCGCCGTCTGTCATATTCACATTTCAATAATATGCAGTGTTTGTCACAAGCTATAATCTTGAAATAATCTTACCGTGAAGACTTCAGCACGTCTCTTTTCTGTGCTGTAATTTGAATGTGCATACTTTTCAGACTTGATATTTCAACAGTGACACGGAGTGTGTGAGCGCGAGTTTCTATGTGTGCGTGTGCATTTGTGTAGTAGATCTCCTTGCAGGCCCATGCCAGTAGAAGCTCACTCTCTGAGCTTCGGATGCTTTTTATTTAGTCTCTTGGTATCAGTTGTACTTCTGTGTTTGTTTCTATAAAAGCTGCAGACGATAAGCTTATCATCGGCACCAACAACTGCAGAGCTTGAGTCTTGAAACCAACTGAAGATAGATTAGAGCAGTTTCATGTTTGTTTGTTTTCTTTAACAATTTATAAAAGCTGCTTGGCCTTGTTTGTGAATCCACATTCTTTGAATTCACTGCAGAATTCTAGAGAAACTTATTTAAAATGCAAATGGAAAGTGTGTTTGAGAAGTCTTTTTTACAGTCACTACCACCAGCTTTCAGTAGCTACATGCTAACTGGTCAGATAATACAGTTCTCTTGCAACTGGTGGTTGCCAACCAGTCTCCAGGCCTGTGTGACTGGAGTAATATCAAACAAAGTTGAAGGTATATTTAATGACTTCATGTTTTAGTTCATGCAAATCTGAGCACGCACAAATGAGCTTTGTCTGAAAGCAATAATTTGCTGTCTTTTGTCAACAAACAAGCTAGTTGTTTTTCATGTTAAGTAAATATTCCCCCACTTATGCTTCTCTACATACCAAAGAATATGTCCATGACCATGTAGAAAGAAGCCAGACACATTTGCGTGCGCGAATGTACACCCAAACACACATGCGCACGTAGAATAAGAATTAACCCTGTGAAGTGATGGGGATAATTCCATGGTAATTAGTGTTCTGTGTAATCAGTTTTTATTTTCCTGTGCTGTTGTTAGGCGCAACAGACAAAACAAAAGGAGGCTTGCTTGCATCTCTCCCTCTCTCGCCCCCTAATTACAAACATATCCAATTAATTACACACAAGTCCCACTTTCATCTGTGTGCACAATGTGAGAAGGAGAGATGAAAATGCAGAGCAGTCAGCAGGAGCAGTGACACACACTAATATACAAAGAAAAAAATAATAATTAGTCACACTGGCATGTGTACGCACATGCACATCGGAGCCTTAGGGCACATGCTTAAGACAAACATGTTGGTCATTTGTGAGTTCTCTAATTATCTGGGCATTGGGTGAAAGTTGTGCAGGGATTTTCAGCTTGTGCATCATGTGCCACTGCACATCTTGTAGATTCAAGTAGAAATAAGGTTGATCTGATATTTGAGCAGGGGTACGAGTCTGTGTGTGACTGCAATAACGACAAAGAACCATAAGTTGGGTTCAGTCTGTGTAGTAATTAACGCACACCTGCTGCTTGAAATGAAACACTTTAACAGGAGTAATTTTTTATGTGTTTGCCTGCACATCTTTTCAATTTATCCAGCTCAACTGGAACTGACACACTGGACATCAAGTTGGATCTATAAATCTTCAGGAGCGACATCATGCTCGTGGAACATTTTAGCTGTAGTATATGTGGCTTACAAGCAACTTACAGGCTGCTGTTAATCCTTACACAGTTAATCCTTATAAAATAATGAATCACTGCTAATTATTATCTGTAAAAATGGTCTGTGTTGAGGGCTGGAATATATTATACGGTATGTGGACAGACAGATTTAGTATTAGCCACATTGGGTGCTGGAAGTGGGGCACATAATAACCTAAGGAATTTTGACAGAAGCCAAATTGTTCTGGTTA